TAATCGCTACCACACAAGTCGTCCATCGAAGAAAAAGGTTGGTAGGTTGCTTTATCTTTATTTTTCTCTTTTCAAATCTACTCCAATCACGCTTTGTGCTTTCTTAATTTTGCAATAAAGTGTTTTGCTGGATGGTGATTACGGGTTTCAGGAGTACGCCTAATTGATCCTTATGATTTTGGAGTTTGCTGGATGAAGGAAATTCAATTGGGTATTAACGAGTTACAGCTGCCATCCTCTCCTCTGATTCTATTTGCCGACTCAGCCTCTATTAAGAGCTCAACTGCCTTGACTTTGCCACCTGAAATAGCCGACTATCTCTCTTTCCCCTCAAATAGCCTTACTCACCCGTCAATACCGGTTTGGTTTCACCCTAATCCTTGTCATCTGAATTCTCTTTGCCGACAAATCAAAAGAAAAAGAAAGCGCTGCCTCAAGAGGAGCACCATACAGAGTTAAAAGGTTTTTTTTGTTGTCTATCTCTCTGTTTTTAAGCTTGATTTAAGGTAATCTATTTTTCCCATTTTCTCTGTCTAGATTTCTTAGTGCACACTATCCACTATTATGACCAGATTTTGTTCCTACTCTTCCCTTTTGTTGACTGTTAGATAAATTTATTTTTAAAATTTTTTACATATAAAATGACTTTCTTGATTCTCTTTTGATTTTAGGTATCATACGCATATATAGTACCTGCACAGCAACTGTTAGATGAAATGCTTACACAAAATGGGGGTGCATTTCTATTGTGTGTCCACATCTCGTGGGACTTACAGTTCTGCTTTTCTGAAGTGGATAGTTTAACCTCTCCAAAAGAGCTCCATTTGAATCCAGGTTATCAAAGGAAAAGTTTTGTCCAGGTTTTTACTTGGATTCAAGAATAGACAACTATTTGAGAAAGGTGAAGATACAGACTTTTTATTTTAAAATGATTTTAAAGAGGTTAGGATTTCCCATTTTATTGTGTCATTCATAAATTACAGAAGGTGTTTATTTCAAAGACAAAAGGTGTGGTCCTATTTTGTTGCAGATGCCAGGATGTTTCAGTACTATTTGAAGGGCCATTATTCTGTGCTATTTTAAAATGTTGTTCCATCAGCTGTATTTTAGGTTGATTTCTCATCCAACTGTGTGGTGAGTTCAATTCAACTTATGTATGGTATTGTCAATCTTTCGGCTCATTCTTTATGAATCTTATTTTCATCGATTTCAATATCCTTAACATAAAGCATAACAATTGTAAGCATAACAGTTGTAAGCTCTGTGGCTAGCCGAATCTCCACCTACTCACCAACCTCCTCCTTTAGCACTACCAATAATCACACCTTCACCAATTGTAGCCAAAAAGTCATCTAAACAACCCATTATACAATATTCCCTTTTATAAAATAAATTGGTATTGAACTTTATGATAATTAATAGAATTAAAAATAAAAACATGTACAATATTCCCTTTCATAAAATAAATTGGTATTGAACTTTATGACAAATAATAGAATTAAAAATAAAAACATGTCAGTAGCATGAATTCTTATATCAACTACTTATTTTCCATGTTTTAGACAACCTTCATCTTTGGTATTAACAAAGGACCCAAAATGTTAACTGATGCTGAAACTATCATTTAGACCGACTGGTAAAGTATAATGCCTGCATCCACAACGGAATGTAAGTACAAAGCTCATCTGATGTTATTTTATTTTACATGCTTTTCTATGGTTTGTTTGTTAATTAAATTTTACAATTTATCTATGATTTTTCAATTACTTTTATCTATACAAATAACAATTTTATGGTTCTTTTCTATTTTTAACGCACATGTAGGTTCTTTCTACAATAATTCAAATTGCATGTGGTTATAAAATAATTTGAAGTGCTTTCGTTTTATCTATGATTTTTTACTATATGTTGGGATACACTAATTCTTGTTGTAGCATTTAAACAATAATTGTTTTATTTTCTTTCATTGAATTTTTAATTTTTTTTTCTGAACTATAAAATATCAGTGGATGTTATTGTAGATAAGTTGTAATAGATGCATTGATCATCATATTTCAAAATAGCACCTTTCTTATTGGTTGCCCATAACATGTTTGTAGAAAGGCCTGAAAGAAATTTCTTATTTAGGAACACATTGATTTGTAGATGTGCTCTAATTAATTGCAATTTCATTTTCGCTCACTAAATAGAAACCTTTTATCTAAAACACTGCCTGCCCTATTATAACCATTGCAATGATTACACATAATTCATTATTTTTTTTCATTTGTAGGTTATGTTTAACACACTTTGGATTTGAAGGATCAAAAAAAGAAATACATCAAAGCATTACTTTCATAATCACTCTGGTGGAAGTCAAATTATTAACAAAAAAAGCCCGTTATATGTCTATGCATTTTCACAACAATAATTGATCACCTTTCAAATATATTACTCATACCAATTAATATCACGATAATAATAACATTCCTTAATGCAATAGATTTTTATGTGGGAAATTATTTGTTTTTTTTTTCTCTGTAGGTATATATATATATAAGGTGTAAAAGATTACTATGTGGAGGTTGAAATGAATTCGGTCTATGATGTAAGAAATTTAGTTTTCCATGCGGAAACTACAGATTTTAATAATGTTCTTAATAAGAAAGAGTACAGAAAGCGTGCTATTCTAAGGTGGAAAGAAAAAAAAAATTAAGAAGCGCCAACGTTACAATCCAAATTTTGTTTTGGAGCCTAAAAATAATAGATGCAAGAGGAAAATTTCTTCTAATACATCAGGTAGAGATTTGTTACAGATTATTCCTTCGGCTGCTACCTGTTTGCCTGTTGTTAGTGATTGTCCCCATTGTGGTGCTGTTAAATTTTATACAGAGACTTCTGAGTTTTGTTGTTTAACTGGTCGTATTGTTTTATCAAATAATGTTCTTCCAATTGTTATGCAAGATCTTTTAACTTCAATGTCTGAGGAGGCGAAGCATTTTAGAAATTATATTAGGACATACAATAATCATTTTGCTTTTACGTCTTTAGGTGTTACATCAGATATTAACTTTAATAAGAGAGATAAAGGAATATATACTTTTAGAGTTCAAGGTCAAGTTTATCATTTTGTAAATGATTTATGTCCTCAAGGTAATCGTGAGAAAATTTTGCAGCTTTATTTTCATGATACTGATAATGAAATAGAAAATCGTTTGTTGGTTACTCCTCGAATGTCTAAATTGCAAACTGAAAAATGTGTAGATTATCTTAAACATAATCCATATGCTTTTTTCTTCCGGAGTCTGAGAGATGTTCCTGATTTTCATGACTATAAGATAGTTCTTAAGACTATTTCTACTCAAGATCAAAGAGTGTATAATAAGCCACATGTGTCACAGGTTGCAGTTATTTGGGTTGAGAGTCAGGAGAATGAGGAATATGGTCCAAGAGATATTGAAGTTCAAATGCATTCTGATCAGTCTAAAAGTATTAAATATTTTTATGGATGTTATGATCCTTTGCAGTATCCGTTGATGTTTCTGTTTGGGGAGTTGGGTTGGCATCAGGGTATTATAAAAAAAAAAGTTTTGAAGATTATAGTGGATATTCTATAGTGTCTACGTCGGCCAAACTCATTGCTCCTGGAAGTATAGCAAATGCTGAAAGCTTATTGCAAATGGAAGAAAAAGGTACGGTGGTGCTTTTTAAAATTTCTATCTTACTTTTTCTTGCATTTTGAATATTTATTTTTCAGTGTTGGGAAAAAATGCTGAAAGTAGTAGGTTTGTATCTGTTAGAGAATATTATGCTTACAAGCTTCAGATTAGACCTCATGATAAATCCTTTTATTATACTTTGGTAGATTATTACAACAGTATATAGTTGACCATTTTGTTAAATTAGAAACACAACGATTAGACTTCCATAGAACACAACAAGAGGAAATACGACAAGAATTTCGTCAAGGAATTGTAGATGCCATGGCAAGTGGGGAAACTGAGGGTTCGGCTGTCGGTAAACGAATAGTTTTGCCTGCTAATTTTATTGGTGGCCCTAGAAATAGGAGGCAAAAATATGTGGATGCTATGGCATTGGTTCAAAAGTTTGGAAAACCTGATATTTTTTTAACCGTAACATGTAACCCTAATTGGCCTGAAATAAAGCAAAATCTTAGTGTTCATGAAGAGGCACAGAACAGGGCTGATTTGATTGTTAGAGTTTTTCATGCTAAACTTGAACAACTTAAACATGAAGTTTTTAAGAATCATATATTTGGAGATGTAGCTGCTTCTACTTACGTTATCGAATTTCAAAAAAGAGGGCTTCCACATGCACACTTTCTTATTATATTGAAGCCTAACTTTAAGATGTATACTACTGAAGAGTATGATAGAATTGTGTATGCAGAGATACCTGATAAGAGTGTTAATCCTCATTTATATCGTATGGTAGTAAAGCATATGCTTCATGGCCCTTGTGGTCTTCTTAATCCTTCAAATGTTTGTATGAAAAAAAGCTGTCTGTAAAAATTTGTATCCCAAAAAATTTTCTTCTGAGACAAGTCAAACTGACGATGCATATCCTATATATCGCAGGCGGGACAATGGCTCTAAGGTTAAGGTTAGAGGTGCTATACTTGATAATAGGTGGGTTATTCCCTATAACACCTATTTGCTTTCTAAGTTCGACTGTCATATTAATATAGAAATTTGCTCTACAATAAAGGCTGTCAAGTATATATATATATATATATATATATATATATGCAAAGGTTGTGATAGAATAAGTTTCAATGTTTCTTCAGATAATAATCATATACTTTTAAATGAAATTGACCAGTATCAATCAGGTAGGTGGGTTTCTCCTCCTGAAGGTGCTTGGCGAATTTTTAAGTTCTCTTTAGGTGAAATTAAGCCGGCTCTTATCCATTTGCCACTTCATCTAGAAAACTATCAACCATTGACTTTTAAAAGAAAAGAACGTTTGATTAATGTTTTGAATAATCCTACCAAAAAACCATGTTGACTGAGTACTTCGTTGAGAATACTAGAAATAAATTAGCACAGAAACTTAATCTTACATATTCTCAGTTTCCAGATCACTTTGTGTGGAAACTAGGCGAGAAGATGTGGTCACCTAGGCAAATAGGTGATTCAATAGGTCGCATTGTTATTGCTCATCCAAGTGAAGGCGAAAGGTATTATCTTAGGATTCTGTTATCGAAAGTTCGTTGTCCCAAAGACATGTTTTTTTTGCAAGATGGTAAACAAGTTTTTTGGGTACTTAACAATGTAAATATTAAGTAACCGCAATTAATGGCGTAGCTTCTTTTGGTGTATATAGACCATTACTTTTGATAGCAGCTTCTTATAGTCTGCATTGTATGTATATATAAGTTTCTAATGAATCAGTTTCCTTATTATATGTATAAATGATTACCATACAAAATATTTTTTTTGTAAATATTAGTTATATACCATTTTCAATTTATATGCATTTTAACTGTAATTTTTATATTTTATCTGATTTTGTAAACAATATGCATATATACCTTTAATCAACTTCCAAACATCTAAATCAACAAAACTTAATTTATTAATTGAAACCTTTTAAGATAATACATTGCACATTGTTTTTAAAATTCTAAAATTACCCTTCATGGATCTCTCAGGTCCTTAGAAATTCACTAGTATATATATATATATATATATATAAAACTTGGACAATGAATATCCTAAGTGACTTCATGCTAATTTGCGCAGAATAGGAACTGATGTTAAATTACGCAGAAATGATGTCTACGTGTTTCATTGGTGTGCTTCTTTTCTTTTCTTTATTTATTTTGGGTCATTATCTGCATTGTCGTACACGTGTTGTTTGTGCTTTGCTTCACTATCTTCTCAGCCAATAATATTCTGATTTCTGTAACCCACCGCCATTGATCCAACTGTCACCGCCTTATCAATACAGGTTCCCCTTTCGTTGATTTTGTCTCCTAAATCCGAAATCGCTGACTGTCTTCTTCTGCTCACCGCCGCTTCCTCCATTCATATGTGTTCTGCTCCTATTCTTCTTCATGTCACGAGTTCTTTCCATCTGATCCATCTTTCTCCGGTGAGATCATCGGCCCTCACTACGGCGGCTGCCTAGCGCCGCCATACCCACTATTCTCTCTGTTTCCTCGACCATGGTAATATCGATCCTTCAGTCTCTTTGTTCTTATCTAACCTTTTCTTCTCCCATCAAAATCGTGTACAAGCCCTAAAACCACCCCACCCTACCCATCGATTTTGCTCCTTCTACTACGGTGCCTTCAATGGCTACCATGGATTTGGTGGCACAGGTAACCTTCGATTTCATTTGAGCCTCCGATTTCCTTTTACACATTTATATCCTCCATCACCATTCTTCCATCACTATCTAAAGATGCGTTCTCTCTCTCTCTCTCTCTCTCTCTCTCTTGCTCACCCTAAATTTGGACATCAGCGACCATCATTTTTCTCCCATCTCGACCTCCTGCTGATACAGTCGTACACAGATATAAGCCAGCACATCCTCTAGGTTCGATTTTTTTTTTTTCTTTCTTTGCTTTATTCTGATTACTTTAAGCCTCCGATTCGTCCAATATCGGCCAATTTGAAGCTGATATCGATTTAGAGGTCACCGTATCGCTGTTTGATTTTTCATACTTATGCGAAAAATGATTAGTGGTTGTTCTTATTCATTAGCACAATCGAGTCCCTTCTACCATCAATGAATCAGCTTCCTGAAAAAAAAACCCATTTTATGATTCATACCCATTACAATCATCGCTCCCTGTAAAATTTTTTGCCAGATACTCCGACAACACCGCCCGCTTCTCCCTCCCACTGGTTCTGCGTAAGTTTTTTTTTTTTTTTTTTTTTTTTTTTTTTTTTCTATCTCGCTCTAAAGATGAATTATCGATTTTTGAGATTTTTCCCCTTTCCGGATTTGTCTTCTTCCTTCTGGATTTGTCTGGGTTTTTGGTTAATTTAATGAAGGTGATTCTCGTTTTCATTTTGGGTCACCTTAGGTTTCTTTTTCCTGCCAAATACACCTCCGCCTGTTGTATTTTTCATCCTCTTCCTTTTATATTTATTATTAATATTAGGTATTTCTGACATGTTTGTGTATGAAATGCATAGCCTAGATTTATGACAAAAAGTGAATTTGTTGTTTCAATTGAATGCTTCTTATGATTACAGGTAAAAGAAGCGCTTATGTTTCTGGAGTTTGATGTTAATCAAGACAGCAATTTGCATATCACTGCTTGTGAAGGGCATGTTGAGGTTGTTCAGCTTCTGTTGTGTTACAAGGCCAACATTGATGCCCGTGATCGGTGGGGAAGCATGGTATATGCATGATTTCATCACTCAAATCATATTATCATGTTTGAATCATTTGCAAAAGTGATGGCATCTCAAAGGCAAGATTGCGATTTGTGTTTCATATTTAGATCAAAGTTTATATCTTTTCATTATATTAATGATACTATATGGACATTTTGCTCATTTTGACAGGAAACCTATCAAGTTGCTAAATGGATTGGAACTAAAGTTTCATTGAAGATATTAGACAAAGATAGCTACTTTGACCCTGAAAGCGTGTATGTATTTACTATTTACACATTCTTTATTTTTAACTTTAACAATATAACTTCATTGTGATTTCACTTTTGTACCCTTTTGGTTTTTATATATGCAGAAATGCTTTTAAAGATGAGTTGACTTTGTTGGAGGAAGTCAGACATCCTAATGTGGTTCAATTTGTTGGGATGTGGATTGGAAGGAAAGAATATAAGGGTTGAAACTAAAACAAGACAAAAACGTAATGCTTATCCTTAAATACCCATTGTATATTATCTCTCTTATCTGTAAACAAAAGTTTAAATATGGAGAGTGCCCTAATATCAGATGGTAAGAATGGGAGCTTTTGGTAATGCGTGAGTATAATAAAAAAAAATTAAGTTGTGGATAGCGACTTTTAAAAAGAAATCCTACAATCGTTTTGTGCATTCGTTGTTGGTATCTGATTATTGCTATTGGTCCAGTCACTTTGACAAGTTTGTGGAGCTTCATTTCGATGAGAAGGGGAAGCGGAAGAAGGTGATTTCATTGACAAGGTTCTGAGGTATCAGCAAAAGGGCATACAAAATGTAAGTATTTCTATTGTTGTTTAACATTGTCAATTTTATGATATTATGATTCCGTTTTTTAATCATTTTTTTTTTTTTGGTTTTTGGTCAGTAGTTTTCTATCATGTTCAGGTCCAATATGATGCTACACGAAACTGTTATCTATTAATATATATGATGCACATCATAACACAAAAGCATCTAAGATAGTTCATGTTGAAGAGATTAAGACTTTGCGGCGAATGGTTCCCAAGTCCCTCTGCAAAAGATTTTTGTGGCTTTTTATTATTTATAAGTTTTGTGCACCTGTTACTTGACTAGGTTGGTACTGATTGTTACTTTCATTATATCAAAACCCTAATTACAGTTACGATTTGGTGTCTAATTGAAATAGAATCTACGATTTCTATATTCGTTTTTTTCATTTTTTCATATCAGGTTCCATTCAAGAAACATAAATGGTTTTTTTTTTTTTTTTTTTTCATATTAGGTTCCATTCAAGTAACATATTGCTTCTTTATTAATCTTAAAAGCATCTTCTGTTGAGTGTTGCATTTATAGATATTTATAAGTTATAACTAACTTCTGCATAATCCTACGATGTTGTCCTAATGCTTTAGAGAGAAATATATAAACGACTATAAGTTTTTTTTTATAATGTGTATAATTTATAATACTTTTTTTTCTTTCATTACAGATTTGAGGAAATGTCAACAAACAATTATGTTCAAAGCATGTAGTTTTATTATGCTTCATTTCTAATGATTCGTGAACTTGAGAAGTCGCTTCATGTGGGAGGATGCTTCCTTCAAATGCAGTAATATAGTCAATTATCAACTATAAGCTTTTTTATAATGTGTATAAATTATAATACTCTTTTTTCTTTGATTGTAGATTTGAGGAAATGTCAACAAACAATTATGTTGAAAGCAGGTAGCTTTATTATTCTTCATTTCTAATGATTCGTGTATGGTGTATAGTCATTGTTATCACTTATAGTTTATAATCATATGTAAAAAAAATACAGTTTCTGCAACTTTTATGCACTTTACTGTTACTGTTAAGGTTGATTCCTAATGTCCGTATGCTAATAGAAATGGTTTGAAACTGGGAAACAACATCAAATGAAGTAATCAGTTTTCCAAGTCTGTTTTAAGATTTGCATTGCTATTGTTATCTTATTTTTTTCGTACTTGAAGGAGGGGACAAAAAAATGCTTTGTAAAAACAAAAAACGAGAAAAAAAGGAACAATAACAAAAGATTTATGTTTGGGTAATGATGAAGCCGTTTCACGCACTGAACATATTATTTGGTGTAATTTTTTTTTTCAGGGACATGTGTATAGGGTGTGTAGCACACTACTTCAAAGATAGAGACAACGGACAAGGTTTTCATGGAAAATAGGAGGGGTGCGAGGTATGCTTCCTTCAAAGGTGATCAAGGGTGACATGCAATAATTGTTATGTTTTTTTTTTTTTTCACTTTTCTCATACAATCCTATAATCAGGTCACCTTTTGACTATCATATTTTTTTAACTTTTTTATATTATCTCTTCGTTGGCTTGATTTTCATCAAATCAAGGTATGAACTTCGTCTCCATCTATCATTGTAACAACTGCTTCAAAACTAATGGTTGGTGGTTGTTTCATTTTTCTATTTTAGGTTAAACATCCACGTAGATATGATCTCCATTTTACTATACAAAGTTTTTTATATTGTTAATTATAAATATTTTTTCGGGGGCACCAGATTGACTCTTATTATCTTTATAAAATATATCAAATACAAATTATAATATTCTGTAAGTGTAAACCTCTAGGGTGAAGAGGAGGCAGTGGTGGAATTTCAACACTCCAACTACTCTATTTTTCTAGGTTAATTCTCCTTTTTCTTTTTATTTATTCCCATTATTCATGTTTGCATGTGTAATAGTTGTTTTTTGATCATATAAGATATGGAAATGCTTTGTCTTTATTTTTAATGCATTGTGTGTGTAATAGTTGGTTTTCGATCATATAATGATATTTTGTCTAACGGTCTGCTTTGTCATTGTTTGTGTTGTTCGGATTGGTTGAGTGTACGTGTTCTCGGTATGGTTGACCGTCGTAAGTGGCCTTGTGTCGATGTTAAATCGTCTTCTATCGGAGGCAGTGTTGGTGCATCTTCTGTCGGGTTTGTTGGGTCTATCGTTGTTGATAATTAAGAAAGATGGTAGAGAAAGATCATGAAATGAGGAGTGCTACCAATATTCAATCTCACTCTAGCTTTTCTACGTTTGCTATAAATATTTATACTTTATGTAATATGTCTTGTATATTGTTCCCTTTTTCATAATCTCATGATTGATAAATACATCCAGTTTTCACTTCTAGATTTCATGGATTGAATAAACTCGGTTCTTATTTGTTGCTTTGTTTTACAGACTAGAAATCTAATATTGTGAAAAAAGTTCTCGGGATTCATGAAAAACGTTAGAGTTGGAGGAATGGTATGTATTGATTATGCCTATTGCAAAATATATTAATGTTCTACCTGTATCATTTTGATCCCTATTATGTGCAACCATTATTAAATTATTATTTTTTCATTTCTTTTGTATTTTGTAGCTATCCTCTAGATTATGCTGCAAAAACTATTAATGATATAGGGTCATCTAGTCAAAGAGTCATATGGAATCAAAATGATATAGGTGGAACGAATGGAATCTACATCTCCCAATTGATTCATTATCAGACAAAATTTTATGGAATCAAAATGATATAAGGTGGAACGAATGGAATCTACATCTCCCAATTGATTCACATTTTCTTTTTTAGTTTTCTTTATTGTTGGAAAGAAATGCTTATTTTGTTTTGGTGATGAGTTATAACCATTATCGACTTGAATAGTATTTTAATTCATTATCAGACAAAATTCCCAACAAACTATACATTATTAACATAAATAATCGATTATGTTGGAACGGAAAGAGCTATAACACAAACTATTCATATTTATTTATTTATTTATTCATGTATTTAATTACATTCTTTCTTTTCAAAGTAGTTAAACAAATACAATCCGGGTACAAAAACAAGACCAAAACAACTAAACGATAATAAGGGACCATTTCTGCAAAAAAATGTGTAACAACCCGAAGTTTTCCATCGTCGAAAACCCATTCTACCCGTAAAAATTCGCTGTTTGTCAATTCATTCCGTTTTTGTTTTGGGTTAAATTATTTAAATTTTTATGTTTATTATAATACAATGAGTGTCCAAACCATTTAGGAACTCATGAAACTAGCCCAAAAATGTTTATTTCAAAAAGTTTAGAAACGTTCCCGCCGGGTGACGGAAACTTAATCGGGTGCGATTTAAAGCCCTGTTTAATGTAGGTATCGGGTAGAATTTCACCGTGTCCAAGTTTTAGGACCTATATAAACGTGTTTAAACATCCATTTGAAGCTTTTTCTTCGTCTCTCTACTCTGTCTCTAATCTCTCTCCTAAATCCAAGTTTAAGGGTCCAAATCATCAATTTAAGGCTCCAAATCTTTGAGGTACCTTTCCTAACTTGTTATGCAACCTCTCTAGCCTTCAAATTCGAGTTTAAACCATGGATTAGGACCATTGTGATGAATTTACGGCCCTAGAACAGCCCTAGGCCGTAAACCCATCTAAATGGGGTTTTTGGAGCAACAAAACCCTTCCAAACCACAATTGGATTTTAGATATGGCTAGATGACTTTATGGAATGAACCTAAAATGCATTAAACCATAATTTAGAGCCTTGTATATGAGTTTACGGCCTGAATGGTGCTTAGTTCGTAAACCCATATTTAAAGGGTTTTTAAGCCCTTAAACCCTTCCATGACTCAAACTAAACCTAGATATGACTTTTAGAAATGTGGTAATGGACTTAGAACACTTTAAACATAAATTTTGGGGGATTTATATGAGTTTACAGCCAAGGCATGTGCTTGGGCCGTAAACTCCTCAACCATGGGTGTAAACACATTTTCAAGGTGTTAGAAAGCCATCCAACACCACCAAAAGCCTTGGAATAAATCATAGAACCAACCAAAAATAGTTTAGGGGCTTTAAACACAACCAAATTCATAATTTGAGAGTTTACGGCCATAGCATGTGTCCCATGGCCGTAAACTCCCAAAAACATGTCATATTGTGCCCAAAAATCATTTTAAGGCTTGTAGGAATTTTTAGAATCACATGTGATTAACTTTGGAACCTTAAAAACACATATTCTAAGGAGTATGAGAGTTTACGGCCATAGGCTCCATGCCAAGGCCGTAAACTCCCATAAGTGTGTTATTTGATGTTTTAAATTAATTCCAAGCCTTAGGAAAAATTATTCCAAGCATTCCCAAGTGATATTAGCCATTTATGACTCATTAAGCACCATAAACCACCCCACCATGAGTTTACGGCCGTAAACTCATGGGGAATGGGTGTTATAGGCCAAAAACTCTTGTATGAGTTTACTCTTGGGGAGTAAACTCAAATTCCAAGTCCCTAATGCCATTACACATCCGTAGATGTCACCCGAGTCCTTCCAAACACTTGAAATGGGGTGTTTCAGCGACTAAAAATGTTTGTCCCTAACAATTAAGTAATCTAAGTCCTAATTAAATACAAATGTGTATCTTTTCATTTTAAATAGGAATCTCGTACGTTTGCAAGCCTCGAACCAACGTTTAGCACCCGAAATCATCACATTTCTCGTCCAGTGAGTTCATACCCCTACGCTTTTTCCGTGTTTTCAGGGGGGAATACAAGCAAACTATAACTGTTTTCAAAACATAACATTGATGTGTTTCAAATAATATCTGGCAAAATTTATAAATACCTTTACCCCTTATGTATTATGTTGAGCATAAGGGATGATTTATCAACTACAACTAAAATGGATTTTAGTTAAGAAAATAACCAAACTAATCAAATTATTATGGGAATAATTTGGGGTTCTTTAGTGTTCGTTTTATCATGTACTAATATGTATATAAATTTATTAGATAAACTATGTCTGATTTAGTTTATCTCTGTATCATTTTAATGTATTTCCAGATAGTTTCATTCTATGTATATTCACTGTATTATGTTTCATAATCTTTTGTATGTTTGATATCGTATAAGAAACCTGTGAATAGTTTAGTACTAGTTTGTGAGTTAGTCACTACCCTTTATGGATGATCAGTAAATCCTCCCCGGAAGTGTAACCAGAGTCTCCTGGAGGGAGAGCGAGGAATTTGTGAATTGATCTATTCGGGACTGACAATCCCACACCTTAACTGCTAGCTACAGTTACGCGGGCACGCCTGGGGTGACGAATTTCTGGATATCATTCGACGTCTGACAAGCGTCAAGGAGGTCTCTTTGTTGTATCAGCATGATTACCCGACTCATAATATGTATTAATATAAGTTTATTCACAGTATCGTTTTGGGTTTGGTTTTGACTTTGTTTCGATTCCATATCTACTTTTTATAATGTATCTATAACTTGTACGGGATGTTAGTCCCATGGTTTTTAACTATATCTTATACGGGATAGTAATCCCATGGTTTTGGATCTATATCTATTACGGGATAGTAATCCCATGGTTTACACTTATATCTAGTCCGGGATAGTAATCCCATGATTTCAATCTATATCTATTTCGGGATAGTAATCCCATGATTTCGATCTATATCAAGTACGAGATGATAATCCCATGGTTTAAATCTATATCTTGTCCGGGATAGTAATCCCATGGTTTCCAATCTATATTTTCATATA